CCTGTTGGACCAATTGGCCTTTTGCTCCGATGGACAGGTTGGACCAACTGGCCTATTGCTCCGATGGACCGATTCAACCAACTAGCAAGTTGCTTTGATGGACCAGTTGGACCAACTGGCCTGTTGGTCCCATGGACCGGTTGGAGGAACTGGCTTGTTGCTCTGATGGACCGGTTGGACCAACTGGTCTATTGGTTCGATGGACAGGTTGGACCAACTGGCCTGTTGCTCCGATGGACGGTTGGACCAACTAGCCTGTTGCTTCGATGGACCGGTTGGACCAAGTGGCCTATTGGTCCGATGGACCAATTGGACCCACTGGCCTGTTCGTCCGATGGACCGGTTGGACCAACTGGCCCGTTGGTCCGATGGACCGGTTGGACCAATTGGCCTGTTGCTCAGATGGACTGGTTCGACCAACTGGCCTGTTGCTCTGATGGACCGGTTGGACCAACTGGCCTGTTGGTCCGATGGACCGGTTGGACCTACTGGCCAGTTGGTCGGATGGACCGGTTGGACCGGTTGGACCAACTAGCCTGTTTGTCTGATGGACCGGTTGGACCAACTGGCCTGTTTGTCTGATGGACCGGTTGGACCAACTGGCCTGTTGGTCCGATGGACCGGTTGGACCCACTGGCCAGTTGGTCGGATGGACCGGTTGGACCAACTGGCCTGTTTGTCCCATGGACCGGTTGGATCATTTGGCCTGTTTGACCGATGGACCGGTTGGACCAACTGGCCTGTTGGTCCGATGGACCAATTGGACCCACTTGCCTGTTCGTCCGATGGACCAGTTGGACCAATTGGCTTGTTGCTCTGATTGACCGGTTGGACCAACTGGCCTGTTGGTCCGATGGACCGGTTGGACCCATTGGCCAATTGATCCAATGGACTGTTTGGACCATCTAGCCTGCTCGTCCGATGGACCAATTGGACCAACTGGCCTGTTGGTCCTATGGACCGGTTGGAGGAATTGGCTTGTTGGTGCGATGGACCGGTTGGACCAACTGGCATGTTGGTCCGATGGACTGATTGGATCAACTGGCCTCTTGTTCCGATGGACCGGTTGGACCAACTGGCCTGTTGCTTCGATGGACTGGTTGGACCAACTGGCCTGTTGGACCGATGGACCAGTCGGAGTAACAGGCCTGTTGGTCCGATGCACCGGTTGGACCAACTGGATTGTTGGTCCGATGGACCGGTTTGACGAACTGGCCTTTTGGTCCTATGGACCGGTTGGACCAACTGGCCTGTTGGTCTCATCGACCGGTTGGACCAACTGGCCTATTGGTCCAATGCACAGGTTGGACCAATTGGTCCGTTGGTCCCATGGACCGGTTGGACCAACTGGCTTGTTGGTCCGATGGACCGGTTTGACCAACTGGCCTGTTGCTCCTATGGACCGGTTGGACCAACTGGCCTGTTGGTCCGATGGACCGGTTGGACCAACTGGCCTGTTGGTCCGATGGACCTGTTGGACCAACTGGCTTGTTGGCTCGATGGACCAGTTGGAACAACTTGTCTGTTGCTCCGATGGACCGGTTGGACCAAGCGGTCTGTTGGTCCGATAGACCGGTTGGACCAACTTGCGTGTTAGTCCGATGGACCGGTTGGACCAACTGGCTTGTTGGTCCCATGGACCGGCTGGACCAACTGGCTTGTTGGTCCGATGGACCAATTGGACCAATTGGCTTGTTGGTCCGATGGACCGGTTGGACCAACTGGCCTGTTGGCCCGATGGAACGGTTGGACCAACTGGCCTGTTGCTCCGATGGACCGGTTGGACCAATTGGCCTGATGGTCCGATGGACCGGTTGGACCGACTGGCCTGTTGGTCCGATGGACCGGTTGGACCAACTGGCCTGTTGGTCTGATGGACCGGTTGGACCAACTGGCCTGTTGGTCCGATGGACCGGTTGGACCAACTGGCCTGTTGGTCCGATGCACCGGTTCGACCAACTGGCCTGTTGCTCCAATTGACCGGTTGGACGAATTGGCCTTTTGGTCCTATGGACCGGTTGGACCAACTGGCCTGTTGGTCCCATTGGCCGGTTGGACCAACTGGCCTGTTGCTCCAATTGACCGGCTTGCCAACCTGGCCTGTTGGTGCAACGGACCGGCTGGCCCACCTGGACTTTTGGTCCTATGGACAGGCTGGACCACCTGGACTGCTGGTCCAATGGACAGGCTGGACCACCTGGACCGCTGGTCCAATGGACCGGCTAGACCACCTAGACTGTTGGTCCAATGGACCGGCTGAACCACCTGGAATTTTGGTCCAATGGACCGGCTGGACCAACTGGCGTGTTGGTCCTATGGACCGGCTGGACCACCAGGCCTGTTGGTCCAATGGACCGGCTGGCCCACCTGGACTTTTGGTCCAATGGACCGGCTGGCCCATCTGGCCTGTTGGTCCAATGGACCGCCTGGCCCACATGGACTTTTCGTCCAATGGACAGGCGGGACCACCTGGACTGCTGGTCCAATGGACCGGCTGAACCACCTGGACTTTTGGTCCAATGGACCGGCTGGACCAACTGGCCTGTTGGTCCAATGGACCGCCTGGACCACCTGGACTGTTGGTCCATTGGTCCGGCTGGACCACCTGGAAATTTGGTCCATTGGACAGACTGGACCACCTGGCCTGTTGGTCCAATGGACTGGCAGGACCACCTGGACTTTTGGTCCAATGGACCGGCTGGACCAACTGGCCTGTTGGTCTGATGGACCCTGTTGGTCCAATGGACCAGTTGGACCAACAGGCCTGTTGGTCCGATGGACTAGTTGGACCAACTAGCCTGTTGGTTCGATGCACCGGTAGGACCAACTGGCTTGTTGGTCCGATGGACCGGTTTGACGAACTGGCCTTTTGGTCCTATGGACCGGTTGGACCAACTGGCCTGTTGGACCAATGACCAGCTTGCCCACGTGGCGTGTTGGTCCAATGGACTGGCTGGCCCACCTGGACTTTTGGTCCAATGGACAGGCTGGACCACCTGGACTGCTGGTCCAATGGACCGGCTAGACCACCTGAACTGTTGGTCTAATGGACCGGCTGGACCACCCGGACTATTGGTCCAATGGACCGGCTGGACCAACCAACCTGTTGTCGGAGAACCTTCCTTCTCCGAGCCCATGCTCTGCTCCTCGTACCTACTCTTCTCCTTGCTCCCGCTCTTCTTCCTGCACCTGCTCTTCTCCTGCTGTCTCTCTCCTTCCTCCCTTCTCCGTGTTGCAAAGCCTCACTCAACCGCTGCCCCCTCCTGTGCTCGTGCTCTAGCCGCTTGAGCTCGTGTCACAGGACCCTCTTGGAGATGCCTCACTCGTACCACTGCCCCCTCCTCTGTTTCCTCCCATGGCCTGTCCTCTCCTCCCGGCACTCATCCTCCCTCCCTTCTTCCCTCTGCCCTGTTCCCGTGATACCTTCCCTTCTCTGCCTCAGCCACCACATTGAAGGAGTTTCCTCCCTCACCCCGTAGGTCCTCCCCTAGTGGCGTGCCACCGGATGCTAGATCAGAGGTAACAGCTTTCTACTAATATGAGAGAATAACAGCACGAAAGCATCGAGGGGTTGGCTGTGACTGCCCTTACCCAACCCCAAGCTGCACATTCCCAAAAGTGCGGCTCGGGGTTGGGACTGCTTGGCTTCCTATTTCGCCCTTCGGTGCCTTTTCCCTCGCAATCCCAACCGCTCCCATCCAATTTCCCCCTTTCTACACCCCTCCCTAACAGTAACTTTCCTATGTTCTACACCTACAACTGATTCCTAACTAATACTCTTATAACTAGCTAATGTTCCCATAACAGCCACTACAAGCCCCCCTTACACCATCATCCTACTGTTATTGCATATGCATTAGGTGCATATGCGGTGACAGCTGTCGGAGAACCTTCCTTCTCCCAGCCCATGCTCTGCTCCTCGTACCTACTCTTCTCCTTGCTCCCGCACTTCTTCCTGCACCTGCTCTTCTCCTGCTGTCTCTCTCCTTCCTCCCTTCTCCGTGTTGCAAAGCCTCACTCAACCGCTGCCCCCTCCTGTGCTCGTGCTCTAGCCGCTTGAGCTCGTGTCACAGGACCCTCTTGGAGATGCCTCACTCGTACCACTGCCCCCTCCTCTGTTTCCTCCCATGGCCTGTCCTCTCCTCCCGGCACTCATCCTCCCTCCCTTCTTCCCTCTGCCCTGTTCCCGTGATACCTTCCCTTCTCTGCCTCAGCCACCACATGCCCCCTCCAGAGCTCGTGCTCGGGTCTCCCGTGCACGAGGCACTGGACACTCTTGCTGAGGCCGGGGTACTTCTCACCACTGCAGTATTGGTGGTCCCCTGTCTTCTCTCTTCGCCCACTCTCTGACACAGCACTCCCGCCCCCTCAGATTCGTCGCCCTCATTCTCTGTGTGCCCAGCACCACTTCCTGTTCCAGAGTATCCTTCTGTCCCCCCGAGGGGTAGACTTCCTGTCTCACTCCTTCTGCCGCCCTTGTGCTTGGTGCAGCCCTGCTGCAGCCGCTCCTCTGGCCTGTGTGCATCTCTCAGCTGGACTGTCTGTAAGTTCTCCCGTGCTGCCGGCAGTCCTTCCTTCAGGTACCTTGCCCTGGTTTCTACCAATGCCACGCCATTCTCAACCCCTCCTGTTCCCACTGTCTGTGTCACGAGTGTGACCTCCCTCCCCTGCCCGCTCATTGGCCCCCCCCCCACCGTCCACTTAGATCCTTCCTTTGCAGTCCACCCTGCCCATCCTCCCTCCTCATCCTCCACTCCCGCCTCCGCTGCTGCTGCTACACACTCAGGTGCCCCTACTTTCTCTTCCTTCCCTTCCTCTTCTTCTGCCGCTGCTCCACACGCCTGTGTCTCCAAATTCTCTTCTTTCCCTTCCTTTTCTGCTGCTGCTGCTGCACACGCCTGTGTCCCCAACGTCTCTTCCTTCCTTTCCTCTTCTGCTGCTGCCGCTGCACACGCTTGTGCCCCAACTTCTCTCCTTCCCTTCCTCTTCTGCTGCTGCTACTACACACGCCTGTGCCCCCCAACTTCTCGTCTTTCCCTTCCTCTTCTGCTGCTGCTACTGCACACGCCTGTGCCCCCAACCTCGCTTCTTTCCCTTCCTCTTCTGCTGCTGCTACTGCACACGCCTGTGCCCCCCAACTTCTCTTCTTTCCTTTCCTCTTCCGTTTCCGCTGCTGCTGCTGCGCACGCCTGTGCTCTCTCCTTCTCTTCCCTCCCTGCCGCTTCTGCTACTTCTGGTTTGCACGCCTGTGCCCCCACCTTCACTGCCCCGCTTTCCGCTTCTGCTACTCCTGTCATGCACGCCTGTGCCCCCACCTTCACTGCCCCGCTTTCCGCTTCCGCTACTGCTGTCATGCCCGCCTGTGCCCCCACCTTCACTGCCCCGCTTTCCGCTTTCTCTACTGCTGTCATGCCCGCCTGTGCCCCCACCTTCACTGCCCCGCTTTCCACTTCCGCTACTGCTGTCATGCACGCCTGTGCCCCCACCTTCACTGCCCCGCTTTCCGCTTCCGCTACTGCTGTCACGCCCGCCTGTGCCCCCACCTTCCCTTCCCTCCCTTCCGCTTCTGCTGCCACTGGTACACCCGACCATGCCCCCACCTTCTCATTCTTCCCTCCCGCTTCCGCCGCTGCTAATGCACACGCTTCTGCCCCCACCTGCTCGTCCCGCTCCTCCGCTCCCGCTGCTGCTGGCACGCACGCTCCCGCTCCTTTGCTCCTGCTGCTGCTGGTGCGCACGCTTCTGCCCCCACCTGCTCATCCCGCTCCTTTGCTCCTGCTGCTGCTGGTGCGCACGCTTCTGCCCCCACCTGCTCATCCCGCTCCTTCGCTCCTGCTGCTGCTGGTACGCACGCTTCTGCCCCCCACCTGCTCATCCCGCTCCTTTGCTCCTGCTGCTGCTGGTACGCACGCTTCTGCCCCCACCTGCTCATCCCGCTCCTTTGCTCCTGCTGCTGCTGGTGCGCACGCTTCTGCCCCCACCTGCTCATCCCGCTCCTTTGCTCCTGCTGCTGCTGGTACGCACGCTTCTGCCCCCACCTGCTCATCCCGCTCCTTTGCTCCTGCTGCTGCTGGTACGCACGCTTCTGCCCCCACCTGCTCATCCCGCTCCTTCGCTCCTGCTGCTGCTGGTACGCACGCTTCTGCCCCCACCTGCTCATCCCGCTCCTTTGCTCCTGCTGCTGCTGGTACGCACGCTTCTGCCCCCACCTGCTCATCCCGCTCCTTCGCTCCTGCTGCTGCTGGTGCGCACGCTTCTGCCCCCACCTGCTCATCCCGCTCCTCCGCTCCCGCTGCTGCTGGTACGTACGCTTCTGACCCCACCTGCTCATCCCGCTCCTCCGCTCCCGCTGCTGCTGGTACGCACGCTCCTGCCCCCGCTTGCTCGTCCTGCTCCTCTGCTTCCGCTGCTGCTGGTGTTACTGACATACACGCCCATGCCCCCACCTTACTCACTAGCTCCCTTCGTATGTCCCTGCCCCCACTGCGCAGCCACATGTCTGCATGGCCACGCAGCACCGCACCGGAGTGTTCTGGCTCCTGCCCCTCTTCCTCCTCCGCGTACAACCCCGCTTGCCCCTGAGTTCTTTCTCCCAGTGCCTGCAGTTGGGCTCGTAACTGTTCGATCTGTTCCTCGATCTCCTTGGGTGATCTCCTTGCATCCCTTCCTTTCTCATAGCAGTTTCTTGCCCGATTCCCACACACCTCACAGCTCGGTGCATCTGGGCAGTCCCTCCGTCGGTGCCCAGGCTTTCCGCACACATCACAGTTCTTGCACTCCCTCCTGATATGCCCCTCCTGCCCGCACCTGTGGCACGTCCGTGTTTCTGCTCGCCTCTCCTGCCACTGCTCCTCCCCACCCCCGTCCTCGGTTATCATCGCTGCAGCCCACCTGGGCCGCCCTTCCTCTAACACCCTCGGCAGGTACGCCTCATACCACCGCTGCGCCAGCTCCACTCTCTCTGCCAACTCAAACACCTCCTCCAGCGTTGCTTCAGCTCCCAACTCATACACTCTCATTCTCAGCCCGCCGCTCAATCCCTCATCCAGACCCCCCAGGAAATTGCTTATAAGCATGCTGCCATCTGTGCACACCACGTCTTCCGCCAGATCCGTCAACCTACCGTAGTAAGTGAGCAGTGACTCGGCCCTCCCTCGCTGGAATTCCTGAAATTCTCTCACCCTCTCCGCCGTGTGCCCTGGAAACTGCTTCCGCAGCCGCTCTAGGAACAGAGTGGTTGGGTCCTCATCCTCCTCCTCTGCCCTCCTCAGCCATTCCTTCATCTTCATACGATATAGCGTCTCAGCTTCGCCTCCCAGCGTGTTCGGTAGGCTCAAGTAAAACTCTATCGGGTCCATCCCACTCCTGTCGCAGCGGTACTTCATATTACCGATTTGCATCAGGTAATTCTTCAGGTTTGTGTCTGACCCTGCTCCCCCCGTAAAGCGCACTGGCACCTCCACCTGAGGTGGGGCCTGCGCACTCCACCTCCCTGTCTCCCAAGTCCCTGAGCTCTCATTCCTCCTGCTACTCTCTCCCCTCCTCTCCCTCATCTCCCTGCTTCTTGACTCTGTCCCATACAGCACTCGACCACTTCCTTCCCTGGCTGCCCTTGCCCTCGTAGTGCCTACCCATGACTGCTGCCGCCTTCTCCGCCACGTCGGACCTATGCTCCTTCCCCCCTCTCTCTCTTGAGCCTCCCCATATCTCTCCGATCCCCACCCTGGTCTCTCCCTCTTCTCCGGGGAATGTTCTTTCCAACGCCCCTCCCTTCGGCCCGACCTGTGGCGCGTAGGTCCGTCACACTCTCCTTCGTCGTCACTCTCCGTTTCATGCGCAAGCATCATTTCCCGTCGCCTACTCTGCTTCTCTTCACCCCTTTTCCTTGTTCCCCTGCTGCCCGAGCTTGCCCCATACAGCGCCCGTTCTGTCCCCTCTCTGGCCGCTCTGGCTCCTTCGGATCCTCCTCCTGATTGCCATCGCCCCTTCGGGCCCCTTGTGCTCGGACTCCTTCCTCGCTCTCTCTCGTAAGCCGCTCTCCGCTTCTCTGCTCCGTCCCACCGCCTTTCCTTCCCATCATGCGAGTGCTCCTGATACCGCCTTTCTCGCTCCACATCTTCCCGCCGCCATCGGTTCCCTCTCCCCCTTTCTTCTGCCCTTGTTGCGCCCAGCGCTCGTCGTGCACCTTCCCTGATGCGTCCCTCCTCACGCCCCCCTCCTCTCTCTGGTGAGCACCACCCATCTCTTTCCTCACAATCCCCTCGCTCCCCGTCCGGACCTGCTCGTCTGCCCCGTTCTTCCTCTGGCTTACTCTCCCGTCGCCCACGTTGCTCCTCACCCCTCTCTCTCTGTCTCTCTCTCCCCCAAACAGCAGGACCCCTTTAACCTGCCAGTCTCCCTCGCTCATACTGCTCCCTCCGCACCTCTGGCGATCGCCACGCGGCCATCGCCACGCGTCTCCTCCCACGTCCTCGCAGCTCAGGCGAGCTGTACCGTCCCGTTGGCGCATGGTTTTTCCTGCTGTCCTCCCGAAGATCGTCCGGCGAGCGACCTGCCACTGCGGTTCCGCGGCGCCTCGCATCTCCCTCGCGCACCTCCTCTGGCGAACGATCTGCCGCCATGTTCCCTTGGCGCCTCCCGCCACTCCCGCGGATCCGTTCTAGCGAGCTGTCTGCATCCGTTCTCCCGCGGCGCCTTGCGCTGCCACCTCGCATTTCGTCTGCCGAGCGACCTGCATCCTTGCCTCCGCAGTGCCTCACGCTGTTTCCACCTATTTCGTCCACCGTACCATCTGCATCCGCGCCCCCGCGCCCTTCGTCTGCCAATCCGTCTGCATTCGCGCCCCCGCGGTGCCTCGCGCCCTCCTCACGCCCTTCGTCTGCCAATCGGTTTGCATCCGTGCTCCCGCAGCGCCTCACGCTTCCCCTGCGCATGTCTTCCGGCGAGCGACCTGTCGTCATGTTCCCGTGATGCTTCGCGCCGCCTCCGCGCATCCTTACCGGCGAGCAATTTCCTCCCGCATCCTTGCTCTCTCCGTCGCGCCCTTCTTCCGCCACTTCCTCCCTCTCACCATCCCGCGACATCGGGATGGCGCCGTCTGCTTCTTCCGCGCCGTCTGCTTCTCCCGCGCCCTCTGCTCCTTCCGCGCCGTCCGCTTCTTCCGCGCCGTCTGCTTCTTCCGCGCCGTCTGCTTCTTCCGCGCCGCCTGCTTCTTCCGCGCCGTCTGCTCCTTCCGCGCCGTCCGCTCCTTCCGCGCCGTCTGCTTCTTCCGCGCCGTCTGCTTCTTCCGCGCCGTCTGCTTCTTCCGCGCCGTCTGCTTCTTCCGCGCAGTCTGCTTCTTCCGCACCGTCTGCTTCTTCCGCGCCGTCAGCCTCGCTTGCCGAATCGGACGAATCTACCCCGTCCACACCGTCGCGACGCCTTACACCCGTTCCGCGCTGGCCTCCTGCCAGAATCCGCGGGTCACTGCCCATCCTGGGCTCCGACCTGACACCTTCAGCTCGCCCACCGACGGGCGTCACCAAATCCGCGCCGTACGCCGCCCTCCGTGGCGAACGCGCAAGTGATCTCCCATGCTCCCGTGAGCGCATCCTCCGCGACGGCAAGATTTCCCGTCGCGAGTCTGTCCGCTGCCAGCGCAGCTCGTGGCAGTCCATTCTATGCTATTTGCTCGAACCGCTCGATGGGCTTTCGTGCTGTTATGAAGGAGGTTCCTCCCTCACCCCGTAGGTCCTCCCCTAGTGGCGTGCCACCGGATGCTAGATCAGAGGTAACAGCTTTCCACTAATATGAGAGAATAACAGCACGAAAGCATCGAGGGGTTGGCTGTGACTGCCCTTACCCAACCCCAAGCTGCACATTCCCAAAAGTGCGGCTCGGGGTTGGGACTGCTTGGCTTCCTATTTCGCCCTTCGGTGCCTTTTCCCTCGCAATCCCAACCGCTCCCATCCAATTTCCCCCTTTCTACACCCCTCCCTAACAGTAACTTTCCTACGTTCTACACCTACAACTGATTCCTAACTAATACTCTTATAACTAGCTAATGTTCCCATAACAGCCACTACAAGCCCCCCTTACACCATCATCCTACTGTTATTGCATATCCATTAGGTGCATATGCGGTGACACTGTTGGTCCAATGGACTGGCTGCACCACCTGGCCTTTTGGTCCAATGGACCGGCTGGCCCACCTGGACATTTGGTCCAATGGACCGCCTGGCCCATCTGGCTTGTTGGTCCAATGGACCGCCTGGCCCACCTGGACTTTTGGTCCAATGGACAGGCGGGACCACCTGGACTGCTGGTCCAATGGACCGCCTGGACCACTTGGACTGTTGGTCTAATGAACCGGCTGAACCACCTGGACATTTGGTCCAATGGACAGGGTGGACCACCTGGACTTTTGGTCCAATGGACCGGCTGGACCACCTGGCCTGTTGGTCCATTGGACCGGCTGGACCACCTAAACTTTTGGTCCAATGGACCAGCAGGACCAACTGGCCTGTTGGTCCAATGGACCGGCTGGACCACTTGGCCTGTTGGTCCAATGGACCGGCTGGCCCACCTGGACTTTTGGTCCAACATACAGGTTGGACCACCTGGACTGATGGTCCAATGGACCGGCTGGACCACCTGGACTGTTGGTCCAATGGACCGGCTGGACCACCTGGCCTGTTGGTCCAACGGACCGGCTAGACCAACTGGCCTGTTGGTCCAACGGACCGGCTTGCCCACTTGGCCAGTTGGTCCGATGGACCAGCTGGACTACCTGGACTGCTGGCCCGATGGACCGGTCGGACCAACTGGCCTGTTGCTCCGATGGACTGGTTGGACCAACTAACCTGATGGTCCGATGGACCGATTGGACCAACTGGCCTGTTGGTCCGATGGACCGGTTGGACCAACTGGCCTGTTGGTCCGATGGACCGGTTGGACCAACTGGCCTGTTGGTCCGATGGACCGGTTGGACCCACTAGCTTGTTGGTCCCATGGACCGGTTGGACCAACTGGCCTGTTGGTCCCATCGACCGGTTGGACCAACTAACCTATTGGTCCAATGGACAGGTTGGACCAACAGGCCTGTTGGTCCCATGGACCGGTTGGACCAACTGGTCTGTTGGTCCAATGGACCGGTTGGACCAACTGGCCTGTTGGTCCAATGGACCGGTTGGACCAACTGGCCTGTTGGTTCGATGGACCGGTTGGACCAACTGGCCTGTTGGTCCGATGGACCAGTTGGACCAACAGGCCTATTGGTCCGATGCACCGGTTGGACCAAATGGCTTGTTGGTCCGATGGACCGGTTTGACGAACTGGCCTGTTGGTCCCATCGACCGGTTGGACCAACTAGCCTGTTGATCTAATACACAGGTTGGACCAATTGGTCTGTTCGTCCTATGGACCGGTTGGACCAACTGGCCTGCTGGTCCGATGGACCGGTTTGATCAACTGGCTCGTTGCTCCGATGGACGGGTTGGACCAACTGGCCTGATGGTCCAATGGTCTGGTTGGACCAACTAGCCTGTTGGTCCGATGGACCGGTTGGAGCAACTGGCCTGTTGGTCCAATGCATAGGTTGGACCGATTGGTCTGTTGGTCCCATGGACCAGTTGGACCACCTGGCTGGTTTGTCCCATGGAACGGTTGGACCAATTGGCCTGTTGGTCTGATGGACCGGTGGGACCACCTAGCCAGTTGGTCCGATGGACCGGTTGGACCAACTTACTTGTTGGTCCGATTGACCGGTTGGACCAACTGGCCTATTGGTCCAATGGACCAGTTGAACCAACTGGTCTGTTGGTCCCATGGACCTGTTGGACCAACTGGCCTGTTGGTCCCATGGACCGGATAAACCAACTGGTTTGTTGGTCTGATGGACCGGTTGGACCAACTAGGCTGTTGGTCGGATGGACCGGTTCGACCAACTAGCGTGTTGCTTCGAAAGACCGGCTGGACCACCTGGCTCGTTGGTCCAATGGACCGGCTGGCCCACCTGGACTTTTGGTCCAATGCACAGGCTGGACCACCTGGACTTTTTGTCTAATGGACTGGCTGGACCACCTGGCCTGTTGGTCCAATGCACCGGCTGGACCACGTCGCCTGATGGTCCAATGGACCGGCTGGACCATCTGGCCTGATGGTCCAACGGTCCGGCTAGACCAACTGGCCTGTTGGTCCGATGGACCGGTTGGACCAACTGGCCTGTTGGTTCTATGGACCGGTTAAACCAACTGGCCTGTTGGTTCCATCGACCGGTTGGACCAACTAACCTGTTGGTCCAATGCACAGGTTGGACCAAATAGCCTGTTGGTCCCATGGACCGGTTGGACCAACTGGTCTATAGGTCCAATGGACCGGTTGGACCAACTGGCCTGTTGGTCCAATGGACCGATTGGAGCAACTAGCCTGTCGGTTCGATGGACCGGTTGGACCAACTGGCCTGTTGGTCCGATGGACCAGTTGGCCCAACTGGCCTATTGGTTCGAAGTTCCGGTTGGACCAAATGGCTTGTTGGGTCTATGGACCGGCTGGACCAACTGGCCTGTTGGTCCCATCGACCGGTTGGACCAACTGGCCTGTTGGTCTAATGCACAGGTTTGACCAATTGGTCTGTTGGTTCCATGGACCGGTTTGACCAACTGGCCTGTTGTTCCGATGGACCGGTTTGACCAACTGGCCCGTTGCTCCGATGGACCGGTTGGACCAACTGGCCTGTTGGTCCAATGGTCCGGTTGGACCAATTAGCCTGTTGGTCCGATGGACCAGTTGGACCAATTGGCCTGTTGGTCCAAAGCACAGGTTGGACCGATTGGTCTGTTGGTCCCATAGACCAGTTGGACCACCTGGCTGGTTTGTCCCATGGACCGGTTGGACCAACTGGCCTGTTGGTCTGATGGACCGGTGGGACCACCTAGCCTGTTGGTCTGATGGACCGGTTGGACCAACTGGCCTATTGGTCCGATGCACTGGTTGGACCAAATGGCTTGTTGGTCCGATGGACCGGTTTGACGAACTGGCTTGTTGGTCCCATCGACCGGTTGGACCAACTGGCCTGTTGGTCTAATGCACAGGTTGGACCAATCGGTCTGTTCGTCCCATGGACCGGTTGGACCAACTGGCCTGTTGGTCCGATGGACCGGTTTGACCAACTGGCCCGTTGCTCCGATGGACCGGTTGGACCAACTGGCCTGTTGGTCCAATGGTCCAGTTGGACCAACTAGCCTGTTGGTCCGATGGACCGGTTGGACCAACTGGCCTGTTGGTCCAATGCACAGGTTGGACCGATTGGTCTGTTGGTCCCATGGACCAGTTGGACCACCTGGCTGGTTTGTCCCACGGACCGGTTGGACCAACTGGCCTGTTGGTCTGACGGACCGGTGGGACCACCTAGCCTGTTGGTTCGATGGACCGATTGGACCAACTTGCTTGTTGGTCAGATGGACTGGTTGGACCAACTGGCCTGTTGGTCCGATGGACCGGATGGACCAACTAGTCTATTGGTCCCATGGACCAGTTGGACCAACTGGCCTGTTGGTCCGATGGACCAGTTGGACCAACTGGCCTGTTGGTCCCATGGACCGGTTAAACCAACTGGTCTGTTGGTTCGATGGACCGGTTGGACCAACTAGGCTGTTGGTCGGATGGACCGGTTCGACCAACTGGCGTGTTGCTTCGAAGGACCGGCTGGACCACCTGGCCTGTTGGTCCAATGGACCGGCTGGCCCACCTGGACTTTTGGTCCAATGGACAGGCTGGACCACCTGGACTTTTTGTCTAATGGACCGGCTGGACCACCTGGCCTGTTGGTCCAATGGACCGGCTGGACCATCTGGCCTGATCGTCCAACGGTCCGGCTAGACCAACTGGCCTGTTGGTCCAACGGACCGGCTTGCCCACCTGGCCAGTTGGTCTGATGGACCAGCGGACCACCTAGACTGCTGGCCCGATGGACCGATTGGACCAACTGGCCTGTTGCTCCGATGGACTGGTTGGACCAACTGGCCTGATGGTCCGATGGACCGGTAGGACCAACTGGCCTGTTGGTCCGATGGACCGGTTGGACCAACTGGCCTGGTCCGATGGACCGGTTGGACCTATTGGCCTGTTGGTCCCGTGGACCGGTAAACCAACTGGCCTGTTGGTCCCATCGACCGATTGGACCAACTAACCTGTTGGTCCAATGCACAGGTTGGACCAACTAGCCTGTTGGTCCCATGGACCGGTTGGACCAACTGGTCTGTTGGTCCAATGGACCGGTTGGACCAACTGGCCTATTGGTCCAATGGACGGGTTGGACCAACTGGCCTGTTGGTTCGATGGACCGGTTGGACCAACTGGCCTGTTGGTCCGATGGACCAGTTGGACCAACTGGGATATTGGTCCGATGCACTGGTTGGACCAAATGGCTTGTTGGTCCTATGGACCGGTTGGACCAACTTGCCTGTTGGTCCTATCGACCGGTTGGACCAACTGG